AAAAAAAAAAAAAAAAAAAAAAAAGGCTTCCAATAAGACTGTGCATGATGTGGCTTTGTTTACCTCTCTGGCCTTCATGCCATGCCGTCGCTATATTCCAGCTACATTGGCTTCTCCAGAAGTGCCATTTCTCCCCACCATAGGACTGTCTCGTACTCTTTTTCATCTGCTTAGAATGATTCTCCTTCTTCTCTTGGCTAAGTTGTATTTGTCCCACATATCTCACTTCCTCAGAAAGGCCTCCAATCTAAAAGCCCCCTCGTAATTCCCTATTAGTGTAGGTAAGTACTGTTTTCCTTCATAACATTTACCATATTTTAAAATGACAGTTTGGTTGTTGCAGGTACTTGCTTGATGCCTCTTTCCCCCAGTAGAATCCTAAGTCCTATAAAGACAGGGACCATATTTTGTATTTATCACGATTATGTACTTAGTGGTTATCACAGTACATGCCACATAGCACGTACCCAATCAGAGAATTGGGTTTAATGCAAAAGGAAACCTGTTTGTCCTTCTTGCTGGCTGTGGTGGACATGCTATTGCTGCTCCTTAAAGATTAAATTGACTTTTAGGAGACAGGAATGAAGATGAGTCTTGTTACATGGGGTTATAGTTTAAAATAAGTAGGACTGTTTAAAGAGCAAATATGTTTTGCCATAGATTGTTCTTTTAGACCAATATTTTATTTATTTTTGCTTGAGTCTAATTGAGTTGAGTACAATTGTTAGAGCCCTGCAATCAGTTTGTTTTTCTTTTAACTTGATAGTTCTTTATCAGTTTTCTTTTGTTGATAATTAAATCTAGGTTATCCCAAAAGACATTTTGTTCAGATTAAATAACAGTTTAGAGAGTTCGTAGTTCTTTCCTTTATATGATGGATCCTTTGTATGGATTGTACAGATCACAGTATTTGACTGAGATAATTGCTGTTTAATTGCTACTCCTTTCTTCCATTACCGCGTTTTATTGATTTAGAGATTCATGGCCTCAATGACTCTATCTTTTGAGCCTTCATATTTGGCAGCTGGTGCTTGTCTTAAAGTATATGAAAATTATCTGGAAATTGCTACATATTTTGGAATATTTAGAGCTCTCACTAGAACCTGTAGAGGAATTGTTGAGTCATACGATTACATCTTGACTAATCAAACCCTTTCATGAGGCAGATTAGGAGATCAGCGTAGTTTTCTGAGACATATTGACTATTTGCATTAACTAATAAGAAGCACTAGATTCATTCAAAAATTTTGTCCACATGTTTTTTTCTCTCACTTTGAAAAGAAACTTTCAAAAAATACTTTTTTGTTTGTGAATTTTCTCCTTACAAAGTACATTTTAAAATGTGAGCTTCTGTGGTCAGATACATAATTTGAAGGAAGGGATTCTATAAATAAATATAATTTTTAAGAAGTTAGAGTTAAAGCTAACCTTGAAAGAATAAGCAATTTCTTCTACTTTGAGACTGTACGGTGTCTCAAAAGAGATTTCAGAAAGTTACTGGAGCCTCCATTAGTGCCTTTTGGAAATACGAACTCATGATGGGGGAAACGTTGTCAAAAGATTGTACAACTTACAAAAGTAGAATTTAAATAACGTATTTCTTTAAAGGAAAATAAAGTGAAGGCTACCTTCTATGAATTTACACCAGAAAATGGCACAGATAAAATTAGAGATCTGGAAAGGAATACATAAATAAATAGGTCCTTTACTTAGAAAAGTGAAACATCTGTTAAACTTGTAGCTATTTAGCCTCTCCAGTATTCATAAGAAATGATATTTCATAAATTTAGATTTCACAGGCATAAAGGACTGAAGAGTAATAACAGGTAAAAATGTTGTCTTAGTAGAATCAGCATTAAATTCTTAGTTTCTTCATTTCCATCATTTAATATTTATCAAATTCCAGCCATGTTTAAGACAATGACCTTGAGAAGAAGAGGCTAAATATTTTTGAAGATAGATTAAGTCAATAGATTAACTAATCTCACTCATATACAAAAAGTTCCTGAAGAGCTGTAGTGTATTAGAGAAGTAGAAGACACAAAATTACTTAGAGAATGGTATGTGATAAATGGCTTAAATACAGGGCATTAGTGTATTTTAAACATATAAGTGAAAAAGTGTTCAGCTGGAATGATCAGGGTTTATTTAATTGGAAAATTAGTTCTGTATTGTCCTTGAAGGAGAGGCAGAATCTTAATAGGTAGGAGCATAAACAGCTGCAAAGAATGGGAAGGTATATTCTAAAGAATGTTGAGTAATTGTTTTAACATATGTTATTTTATTTTTATTATCTTCTATTAGGTAAATTTCAAACTCAGACAGGTATAGAGAATAATACAATAGACATTTATGTACCAACAACCCAGATTTAACCACTGTTAATATTTTGCTGTAGTTGCTCTGTCCCTCCCTTGAAGGCAATCACTATTCTAAGATTGGTATCTTTTCCTTTTCTTGTTTGTTTTTATACTTTTAATGTAGATGTAGGAATCCATAAACACTTTCAGTGCCATGTTTTGCCTTTTAAAAATGAGTATAAATGCTAACATATTATAAGTATCCTTTTGCTTTTTTTTCACTCAACTCTACTTATCATTGTGGCCATGTATCCAAGTTGATATAGGTGGCTTCATCTCATTTAAATGAGGTATACTAGCTCACCTTTTTGTAAAATCATGTCATTTATCAAGTTTTACTTTTACATGTACCTTACCTTTCTTAAGTAACAGCATTGTTTTAGGAAATTTACATTGTGCTATTGATTTGAGAAGTATATTAGATTAAGTTTGTTTCTGTGTTTTAAAATTTTTGTCCAGGAAATCCTTGCACGAGGAATTCTTCTTCCATTAATAAATCAACTCAGTGATCCTGATTATATTAATCAATATATCATATGGATGGTATGTACTTTGTAAAATTACAACTCTTGTTTTTAAAACAGTTTTTTAAAATGTACAAATATGATTTGGAGGTCAGGATGATTAAGCAATAATTTATTCAAGAAATTAAGTAAAAATACATCTAAAGATAATCTTTATATTTTCAGTATTTCTATTTGCTTATGTGTTGAATGTACTAGCCAAATTCTCTGTAAGAAAGTTTGTTGATAAGGTAATCTTCCTTACAATTTTGGTGCTGTTTCTACTTATTTAAATTTAAAAAAGGATATTTTATTGTCTGTGTATATATAGATGATGAGTATTTTTAAAAACTGCTATTTGATTTTAAATACAGCTGTGTTCTGAACTACTTAAATAGTATGTACTTTACATTTTATTCTAAATTTGTTTCTGTAAGTTGCTTAGTATGTCTATAAGATAACTGAGTTTTCTTATTCGTCAGATATGTCAAACGGTTAGTGGTTATTAAGTTTACTAGCTCTAATTTTTTTTTTCCTGGTTATATATGCTTTCCTCAGTAAATTCATGGCTGAGGAAGAGTGTAAATGGGCTATTACTGGAAATACTTTGGTAGATAGTTCTAGGTCTTTGATTCATTTTTTTTGAATCTGAAATTTCTTCCCCACAGTGTCTTCTGTTAACTCAGTCTAGCTTTCCTAGGAAGGAACTACTTGATTGTTCTTTGTTTAACCATATCCATTATCAGACTTGCCATTTTTTATTGTTGTTCCTGTTGCAGTATTTGTCTCTCCCATCAGATGGTGGGTTACCTGCAGGCAGAAATTATCTTGCTATCTTTGTGTTCCTAGAGCCTCTCATGGAGGTCACAGAACTTGATTTTTCGTTTCCTTTGTCAGCTTCTTCAGAGTCCTGCTAGGCTCTACTAAGAGCTTTAAAAATATGCATATCTGCTTAATTAAAATTTTAAAAAATACATGTCCTTTGCTTAGGAATTCTACTCCTGAAGTTTATTCTAAAGTGCTAATAAGCAAGTTTGCAACAATCTGATTTAAGGCCATTAATGACAGTGTTGATAGTAATACTAAAAAATTGAAAGCAATTTAATTGTCGCACATAGAGGGATAATTTAGGCATATTGATACAATAAAATACTATGCCGCCATTATTATGGTAGTGTATCTTTATGAATATGAAAAGATATGTATATTTTTATGTGAAAAGCATACTTAAAAATGATGTATGTGTAGATATCTAATCTTTTAAAAAATATATAAGTAATTATATATTTATGAATGACTGTGATTCTGATAAGATGTATACTGATTGAAATGTTAATAGAGAGGTAGGATCCTGAAAGTTTTAATTTTTCTCTTTTGTTTATATATTTCACTTTACTTACAAGCAGTATTGGTTTTGTAACAAAATGATTTTTTAAGAAGTAGGAAACACAGGTCAAATTTAAAAACATTTAAGTAATAAAGCAAGAGTAAATGACATTAAAAAAATTTTTTTTGTAACACAAAAATGGATATTGTATACTTACCTTAAATAATCAGGGTACAGTACTGTATAATCTTACCTATAGTACAGAAAAGGATGCATGCTTACCAGAATGTTATAGTTATCTCTCACTCATGAGGTTAGGAATTATTTTTATTCCTATTTATATTTTTCTTTAGTTTTCAATTTTTCCTTTGCTAAACTTATATTAAGTATATAATTAGTTATATGGGAAAATTGTTTTGGGGGGGTTTAACACATACTCAAAAAAGAATTCAGACCATCAGATTTTTACTTGTTCTCCCCACAGTTGGGCTGGTACTATTATTGTGTATGATGGGTGGGTCTTTTTGTTATTTAATGAACAGGAATTGATCACTATTGTACTTAGCTATAAAATATCAGAAAATATATTTAAAAGAGAAGAATATATCAATAAAGGGTCTTTAGCGTACTTTGTTGTCTGGTTTGCACACTTTTGGCATTATTTGTGTGGAAAACCCTTTACATGTGTAGGTATTATAAATATTAAAATTGGCTCAGTTCTTACTCTTTCACCCAGTTAAATTTCGTATTAATGATATCTAATTGTATAGTTTATTTCTATTTGAAAGGAAGAGTTTAGAGCAGTGTAGTAGTAACATATATCTTCTCTATATAAAGTGTTCGTGTTACCCAACAATAGTTTAAAATTTTTAAGTCATTTCTAAAAACAGTGTGGGCGGATTTGCATTATTCATCTCGATATATATATTTTATTTCTTTTTAAGACAAACTAGTTAATGTTAAGTCCTATCTCTGACTGTGGAATAGAGTACCTAATTGGTTCATATTGTTATCCCCCCCAGAGCAGATAAGTGAACAGCTACTTAACTTGTTTCTTAATGTATTCTTAGAAAAATCAGGTCTTTAAAAACCTACTTCTTGTTGTATTATTGAAGTAAAATTTATACCAAGTGAGAGAAACTGCCAAGTAGTCCTACAAAGTTGTGTTATAATTTTGTACTTCCACTCGCACTGTTTGAGAGTTTGGTCTCTCCACATTCTGATAGACATTTGGCATTGTCATTTTGTTATGGTTAACTTGCACATCCTTGATGACTAATGATTTTGAGCATTTTTTCATGTGCTTATTGGCCTTTTTTTTCCCCATAGCTCTGGACTTACACAAATCCCCAGTGCTTTGACTCCTTGTTTAGAATGGACAGTATCCCAAGTTGGCTACCTTTTCATAGCTCCCCTTACTGTTTCACTTAGCTTAAATTTTGTTGGCAGTCATAGTCATTCATTCCTTCGCAACATCCTCAACTACCTTCCTCTCTCTCTCACTTTATTATTTGCTTGGTGAAACCACACTGGTTAAATCCAACTTAACCTTCTACTCCATTCCTATTCTTAAATAGCAAGTGGCTGGAGAAAAAAGATGAAATAACAGTTATTTATGTCATTACAGTGATTCTGTTAAATTTATGTCAGAGAATGCCACTCTTCTGTGTAAAACTCTCCAGTAACTATTCCATTCAGAGTGAAAGCCAAAATATTTACTAAACCCTACCATATTTGCCCTCCATTACCACTGATCTCCATTACTCTTCTACACTTCTTTAGTTTAGCTCCAGCCATCATGGCTTCCTTGCTATTATCAGACATTCTGAGCATGCTCTTTACTTTGTAGTGTGCTATATATCTTACTTACTTTGTTAATAGTCTGTGACCCACAAGAATTTAAGTACCAAGAGTACAGAGATTTTCATTTTGTTTTGTTATAAACAGTGGGGATATAGAGGAAAGTTGTGCCTGGCTCATGGTAGGCACTCAAGATTCTGTTTTCACCTAAGCGAGTCTCCCTCCCATCTGTATTTTAAACTTTATTTTCAGATCCGTGATTCTAACTGCAACTATGAGGCCTTTATGAACATTATTAAATTGAGCGACAATATTGGAGAGCTAGAAGCAGTCCGAGATAAAGCAGCAGAAGAATTACAATATCTTCGATCTCTAGATACAGCTGGTGATGGTAAGTATTGATAATTTATTTAAGCATAAGAATGTTTTACTTCTTTAATGATTACTGTGTCTTCAAACAAAACTTTAATTTACCTAAATGTCATTTGATGCTATTAGTTGTTTTCACCGTAAGTGAATCTGACTTTTATTATGCTTATATGTGCTGAGACTAAAGCACAATAATTTTCTGAATATGAGACTCTTATTATTGCAGTTATCTCTAAAGTAAAGATAATTGGCATGGTTTAATTTTAATTAAATAATTTCACTGTAAAATTTCCAGTTATTTCTTTTATTAAATAAAATAATTGCTCTATGCATTGGTTATTATGTTAAATTATAGTAAGTATATGTTTAAAGTATTTCACAAGTAACACTGCCACTTTCTACCTCATAATCAATTTGTTTGTTTTTAGATATCAACACCATCAAAAATCAAATAAATAGCTTATTATTTGTAAAGAAAGTATGTGACTCAAGAATACAACGGTTGCAGTCAGGCAAGGTAAGTACAGTACTTTTGAATTAATATTTAGTTATAAATACTTTATATTCATTAAAACGTCTAGCAAATGACAAAAGGTAGAATATTAACCAGTGTAGCACTCTACAAAAGAACTAAGAATTTAGAAAAAAGTTTATCTTACACAATTTAGTGTAAGTATTTGTTAAAACAAGCTAAAGAGATTAAAATGCTGCATGAAAAATACTGAAGTAATTAAAGATTTTATTTCTTGATTTATATATTTATCTACTCATGTATTATTTATTCAGAATTCAACATTTATTATATTTTGTACACTGGGCACCTTTTTTTAGATGGACCTAACAGAAATCTCTCTCATGGAGCTTACATTTCCATAACATCTACAGAAAAACCCAGACGAAGTTTTTGGCCAACCCAGTAGTTGTAGAATCAGAAAATTAACCAGTATATAAATTGATGTATTATGTAAAAAATGTAAAAAATAAGTAAATGTGAAAAAAATAAGTAAAGCAAAGTAGGGTGATAGAGAATGTCTGGGAGTGTTTTAGATATATGCTGAGAGATTTGGTGACATTTGAGCAGAGAGAGATGTGAATAAGGAGAGGGTCCTGTGATTTTTTTTTTTTTTTAAAGGAATCTTGCAGGCAAGGGTGAGAGCATGCAAAGTCCCTGGAATAGGAAAGTGCCTGGTGAGTTAGAGGAGGTCTTTGTGTCTGGTATGGAATGCATGAAAGGGATTGTAGTAGTAGGAATGAAATTAGAGAGGAACCTTGGGGTTTACTGCCATAGTAAGATTTTTAAAAATTCTAATTGTGATAGGAATCCATTGGAGATTTGCCCTGGCAAGTGACATGATGTGACTTATGAGTTAAAATGATTACTTGGACTCTTTGTGATGAATAGATTGTGGTGGAGTGGTGGGGACAAGAATGGAAACAGATCACTTACAAGACTGTTGCATTAGTTCAGTAAGAGATGTCTGTGGAGGTTCATGTGAGAAGTAATTAGAGACTAGATATAGTGCTAACAGGATTTGCTAATGGTTTAAATATGGGGTGAGAGAGGAAAAAAGGACTCAAGGATGATTCCAGAGTTTTTTGGCCTGAGCAACTGTATGAATAGTGTTGTTGTTTACTAAAATGGATACAGCTGAGGGAGAAGGAAGTCTGCAGGAGAGAATCAAGTTTTGAATGTTTTAGTTTGAGATCCCGGTTTGACATTCAAGTACACATGCTAATTCGTAAACTCGAGTTCAGGGGAATGTTTAGTGATGGAACAAACTTTGAGAATCCTCAGGATTATCAGATGTTTATTTAAAGTTAAGAGATTGGATGAGGTTACCTAAAAGAATGAGTTTAAGTAAGAAGATATCAAGGAATTAGTCCTGAGGCCCTGCAGTTACTTAGTGTTTAAGACAAAGTGAAAGATCTAGCCAAAGAAACAGAGTGACTGGTGAGATTGAAGGAAAACCTGGGAGTGTGATATCCTAGAAGCCAAGTGTAGAAAATGTTTAAAGAAGTGAGAGATCAGGTATATCAAAGGCGACTAATAAGTTGAGTAAGATGAAGATTTAGAATTGACTATTGGGTTTGCCAGCAGGGGGATTATTGGTGATCTGATGATAGCATTTTGGTGGAATAGTGGAGAGAAAAGAAACCCTGACTGGAGTCAGTCCAGGAGAAAATGGGAAGAGGTGAATTAGAAACTGTGATTATAGGTAGCTGTTTGGAAGAGTTTCATTGTAAAGGAGAAGCAGAGATTTGAGGCTTTAAAACGTAAAAAAAACATTTTTTACTACCTTTAGTTTTTAGTGTAGTCACCTTTCTCAACGCTGGTTTTCTATTGGAAATTTATTTGTGACTCTCTGGTCTTGTAATTTTGCAGTGTACTTAAATTCCTTAAGGAATGGAAGACTTATTTTTAAAAATCTTGAGTTTAGTTTAATTATAACTTACATTACTTGAGGCCCACATTTGTCATTTATATGTGTGTGCGGGTGTATGTCTGTCTGTCTTTGTTTCATTTAACTATATTTTAAAGTGAGTTTATACATGCATGTAAATTCAGAATAGAAGAATAATACGGTTTCATTTGTTCTTACTGTTTCTTTATCTAGTTACCTTACCTAGATCTTAAGAGTTAATGATCCGTACGCATCATTATTTAAAGTCTGTTGGCCTAAACACTTTCCGATATTGAATCCTTTTGAAATTTTGAAACCTTGTTTGGAAGCTTGTCAATTCTATTTTGAATATCAAGCTTTACCTTTTTTAATAGCTCAAGTCATACAGTGTTTTCCTTTGGAAGAAAACTCACACTCTTTGCAGAGATGTAGTTGTTTAACCATGCTACTTAAAGTCTTAGGAGGTACTTTATTCTTTTTATCAGAAATAAAGTGATAGTGAATACTCTTTTCCGTTCCCTATCTATAGAGGTGCTGCTGGACAGGAAAAAGAGGTGATAAAATCTGAGGAAGGAAGACTTAGGAGTAATCATGCGCTGGGACTAGATTGCTTTACCCCAGACATTTTAAGTTGGTAATCTGTTATTATTAAGTACTTACATGAAGGAGAGATACTAATTACAGAGAAAGCTTTTTTCTCCTTTTTTCAAAACGTCTTCCTTTTCCTATGCCTAGTTTAGTATCTGCCCCTGAATAAGGCAGCCTATCTAACTTTCAGAAAACCTGTGTATCTTTTTTTAAGAATAGAGGATTGTGAGATATGGATTTGGGAATGCAGAGAAGCTGGTGAAAATCATTCCCGGAAACACTGTGGCTCTTTGTGGAAAGGGCAGCAGGTTTTGAGGACACTGACTCATTCTAGCCAGCTTTGTGACTCCAGGCAACATTTCCAATCCTCAACTTTCTTATCTTTTGAGTGGGATTGGTAATATTTATCCAATAGGATTGCTGTGGAGATTAATGAAGTAATGTGTATAATGCACCTAGCACAATGCTGGACAATGTAGATTCTCTAAATTTGAACCTGTTAAAAATTTTTTTTTTCACCCTATGTAGGTAGTTACCTGCTCTGTTGCTTTGAAGTATATGTAATTTACTGTTTAGGTAGACTGAAAAGAAATACATTTTCTATAAAGATTATAGAATTTTTACTCTGTTAGAAGCAGATTAACTCGGGAATATTTTCTGTTTTCCCAGTAGATAGACTTCAATCTGTACTTGAAAATATTGGGATTTGTTTATTCTTGAACATATTAAGGTGATCCAAATATCCCCTTTAGCTCCTAAAATGTTCATTTTTGTTTGGGATATATAGAGATAGAGAATCCATGAAAATACATTTAGATTTATTTTTTTATTAGAAGAAATGAGTGCTTATCATACTTTTAATGTATATTTACTAAGCAGCTCTTAAAATAACTCTAGGAAATTCAGTGAGCTGATACTTTTTATTGGGCACCCACATGTACAAGAAGAGAAACCTTTATTTTTATTCCATTTTAACTTAAAGTTTTACATCTGTGTAAAGATCTTTAACCTAGTGAGTGAATAGATGAAATATTAATTTACATTAACTTTTATTTGTAGGAAATAAATACTGTGAAACTGGCAGCAAACTTTGGGAAACTTTGCACAGTCCCCCTGGACAGCATTCTTGTAGACAATGTTGCACTACAGTTTTTTATGGGTAGGTAAATCCATTTTATAAAAATAATATAACCCTTGAAATTTTTAATAATTGTAAATATTGTTAAATTTTAAATACCTGGTATTAGGTGTGGCATATATATCTCTCTTCCACCCCTCATTCTCTGAAATACTCCCTTTTCTTTGGAAACCAGAGATTTATTTTGTTGTTGAGGAAATAAATGCTTATTTTAACTCCAATGTGCATTTGCTAATCTGCTTTTAAATAAACCCCAGGAGATTCTACTATGAATTTAAGTTATTTGAGAAAGAATACTTTATCAGGAATACTTGGTGTGTATAACCTGTGTATATCATTTTGGTGCATGAATGGGGGAGGGCTTTGTTTTTATGCCATTTGAATATATAAATATTTATTAATTTTATTAATATTACATCAAAATTGCTTTTATCTGGGGGACATTTCCAGCAAAACTCCCTGATTCTTCATTTTCATGATCAAAACCAAATGCATGGCTTATTGAAGAGCCCAAACCTTATTTTTAATATTTATGATAATAGTAATATTGTGATTAATAATCTTTGTTGAGAATGGAAGCTGAATGTTGGTGAAGTAGTTTATTTCTGTTGAAGCCTCTTCTCTGGCAGTTTTATCCTCTAGAGATATTTTAGTGAAAAATCAGATTTTTTTTTTTTTAAATATGTGCTTCCATTTGTTTTTTCTGTGTAACTGGTCTTCTCAGCCTAACCAGTTTATGATATAACTATTTTTTTTTAACCTCAAGCAGTTGCTAAACATGTTCAAAATGTAGAGTTTTAAGTATTTGAAACTTTAATCCTTCTTAACTTGTCATACAGCTGTATGCACCCAAAAATGTGTGACTTTAATATCTATGTTGTTACGGATTTTGGTAGATTACATGCAGCAAACTGGAGGTCAGGCACATCTCTTCTTCTGGATGACAGTGGAAGGATACCGGGTTACAGCCCAACAACAGCTAGAAGTTTTATCAAGTCGTCAGAAAGATGGAAAACATCAAACCAACCAAACCAAAGGTCTTTTAAGAGCAGCTGCTGTTGGAATTTATGAACAGTATTTATCAGAAAAGGTGAGAATATATTTTGATTACTGTTTTCTTATCTTCTCTGGCAGTATCATTAATAATGATTTTTGTAGTACTTGTAAATATCCATTACTCATGCTGCTATACACAACTCCCTTACATTGCCTTATTTAATCCTCTTAATAGTATTATTGTGTATTATCCTCATTTTATAGGTGAAGAAACTGACGCAGTTAGAAAATTGAATTAACTTGTCCAGGGTAATGCAGATACAAAGTGACAGTTAAAATTCAAGGTCACACACACTGTAGATAATAGGTAGAAAGTAAAAGGATGGAAAAAGGTAAACCATACAAACAGTAACTAAAATAGAGCTGGAGTGGCTATACCAATATTAGTAGTAGATTTTAAGACAAAAAATTGTTACTAAGAAACGAGGAACATTCTATAATTCTAAAAGGGTCAGTTGATGAGGATGATAAAACAACAAAGCCCCCACATAAATGAAGCACAAACTGACAAAATTGAGGGAGAAGTAGACAATTCAGCAATAATAGTTGGAGACTTCAATACTCACTCTCAAAAACTGATAAAACAATTAGATAGAAAATGACCAAGGATATACAAGAATTGAACAGCCCTATACACCCGTTAGAACTCTCCACATTCTCGGTGGCTTAACTCAACAAAGGTTTATTTCTCTCCATGCCACAGTCCAACGAGAGTGAGTGAGGCAGGGTGAGGAGTGGAGAGCGAGCAGCAGTGAATAATAGGGTGACCCAGGCTTCCAGACTCCTCTTTTTTTTTTAAACATCTTTATTGGGGTATAACTGCTTTACAATGGTATGTTAGTTTCTGCTTTATAACAAAGTGAATCAGTTATACATATACATATGTTCCCATATCTCTTCCCTCTTGCGTCTCCCTCCCTCCCACCCTCCCTATCCCACCTCTCCAGGCGGTCACAAAGCACCCACCCTCTCCAGCATTTATTGTTTCTAGATTTTTTGATGATGGCCATTCTGACTGGTGTGAGATGATATCTCATTGTAGTTTTGATTTGCATTTCTCTAATGATTAATGATGTTGAGCATTCTTTCATGTGTTTGTTGGCAGTCTGTATATCTTCTTTGGAGAAATGTCTATTTAGGTCTTCTGCCCATTTTTGGATTGGGTTGTTTATTTTTTTGTTATTGAGCTGCATGAGCTGCCTGTAAATTTTAGAGATTAATCCTTTGTCAGTTGATTCATTTGCAAATATTTTCTCCCATTCTGAGGGCTGTCTTTTGGTCTTGTTTATGGTTTCCTTTGCTGTGCAAAAGCTTTGAAGTTTCATTAGGTCCCATTTGTTTATTTTTGTTTTTATCTCCATTACTCTAGGAGATGGGTCAAGAAGGATCTTGCTGTGATTTATGTCATAGAGTGTTCTGCCTATGTTTTCCTCTAAGAGTTTGATAGTTTCTGGCCTTACATTTAGGTCTTTAATCCATTTTGAGCTTATTTTTGTGTATGGTGTTAGGGAGTGATCTAATCTCATACTTTTACATGTACCTGTCCAGTTTTCCCAGCACCACTTATTGAAGGGGCTGTCCTTTCTCCACTGTATATTCCTGCCACCTTTATCAAAGATAAGGTGACCATATGTGCATGGGTTTATCTCTGGGCTTTCTATCCTATTCCATTGATCTATCTTTCTGTTTTTGTGCCAGTACCATACTGTCTTGATTACTGTAGCTTTGTAGTATAGTCTGAAGTCAGGCAGCCTGATTCCTCCAGCTCCATTTTTTGTTCTCAAGATTGCTTTGGCTATTCGGGGTCTTTTGTGTTTCCATACAAATTGTGAAATTTTTTGTTCTAGTTCTGTGAAAAATGCCAGTGGTAGTTTGATAGGGATTGCATTGAATCTATAGATTGCTTTGGGGAGTAGAGTCATTTTCACAATGTTGATTCTTCCAATCCAAGAACATGGTATATCTCTCCATCTGTTTGTATCATCTTTAATTTCTTTCATCAGTGTCTTATAATTTTCTGCATACAGGTCTTTTGTCTCCTTAGGTAGGTTTATTCCTAGATATTTTATTCTTTTTGTTGCAATGGTAAATGGGAGTGTTTTCTTGATTTCACTTTCAGATTTTTCATCGTTAGTATATAGGAATGCCAGAGATTTCTGTGCATTAATTTTGTATCCTGCTACTTTACCAAATTCATTGATTAGCTCTAGTAGTTTTCTGGTAGCATCTTTAGGATTCTCTATGTATAGTATCATGTCATCTGCAAACAGTGACAGCTTTACTTCTTCTTTTCCGATTTGGATTCCTTTTATTTCCTTTTCTTCTCTGATTGCTGTGGCTAAAACTTCCAAAACTATGTTGAATAAGAGTGGTGAGAGTGGGCAACCTTGTCTTGTTCCTGACCTTAGTGGAAATGCTTTCAGTTTTTCGCCATTGAGGATGATGTTGGCTGTGGGCTTGTCATATACGGCCTTTATTATATTGAGGAAAGTTCCCTCTACACCTACTTTCTGCAGGGTTTTTATCATAAATGGGTGTTGAATTTTGTCAAAAGCTTTCTCTGCATCTATTGAGATGATCATATGGTTTTTCTCCTTCAATTTGTTAATATGGTTAATCACATTGATAGATTTGCGTATATTGAAGAATCCTTGCATTCCTGGAATAAACCCCACTTGATCATGGTGTATGATCCTTTTAATGTGCTGTTGGATTCTGTTTGCTAGTATTTTGTTGAGGATTTTTGCATCTATGTTCATCAGTGATATTGGCCTGTAGTTTTCTTTCTTTGTGACATCCTTGTCTGGTTTTGGTATCAAGGTGATGGTGGCCTCGTAGAATGAGTTTGGGAGTGTTCCTCCCTCTGCTATATTTTGGAAGAGTTTGAGAAGAATAGGTGTTAGCTCTTCTCTAAATGTTTGATAGAATTCGCCTGTGAAACCATCTGGTCGTGGACTTTTGTTTTTTGGAAGATTTTTAATCACAGTTTCAATTTCAGTGCTTGTGATTTGTCTGTTCATATTTTCTGTTTCTTCCTGATTCAGTCTTGGCAGGTTGTGCATTTCTAAGAATTTGTCCATTTCTTCCAGGTTGTCCACTTTATTGGCATAGAGTTGCTTGTAGTAATCTCTCGCGATCTTTTTTATTTCTGCAGTGTCAGTTGTTACTTCTCCTTTATCATTTCTAATTCTATTGATTTGAGTCTTCTCCCTTTTTTTCTTGATGAGTCTGGCTAATGGTTTATCTATTTTGTTTATCTTCTCAAAGAACCAGCTTTTAGTTTTACTGATCTTTGCTATTGTTTCCTTCGTTTCTTTTTCATTTATTTCTGATCTGATTTTTATGATTTCTTTCCTTCTTCCAACTCTGGGTTTTTTTTGTTCTTCTTTCTCTAATTGCTTGAGGTGCAAGGTTAGGTTGTTTATTTGTGATGTTTCCTGCTTCTTAAGGTGGGCTTGTATTGCTATAAACTTCCCTCTTAGAACTGCTTTTGCTGCATCCCATGGGTTTTGGGTCGTTGTGTCTCCATTGTCATTTGTGTCTAGGTATTTTTTAATTTCCTCTTTGATTTCTTCAGTGGTCACTTCGTTAATAAGTAGTGTATTGTTTAGCCTCCATGTGTTTGTATTTTATACAGATCTTTTCCTGTAATTGATATCTAGTCTCATGGCGTTGTGGTCGGAAAAGATACAATTTCAATTTTCTTAAATTTACCAAGGCTTGATTTGTGACCCAAGATATGATCTATCCTGGAGAATGTTCCATGAGCACTTGAGAAAAATGTGTATTCTGTTGTTTTTGGACGGAGTGTCCTATAAATATCATTTAAGTCCATCTTGTTTAATGTATCATTTAAAGCTTGTGTTTCCTTATTTATTTTCATTTTGGATGATCTGTCCATTGGTGAAAGTGGGGTGTTTAAGTCCCCTACTACGAATGTGTTACTGTCGATTTCCCCTTTTATGGCTGTTAATATTTGCCTTATGTATTGAGGTGCTCCTATGTTGGGTGCATAAATATTTACAGTTGTTATATCTTCTTCTTGGATCGATCCCTTGATCATTATGTAGTGTCCTTCTTTGTCTCTTCTGGTAGTCTTTATTTTTAAGTCTATTTTTTCTGATATGAGAATTGCTATTCCAGCTTTCTCTTGGTTTCCATTTGCATGGAATATCTTTTTCCATCCCCTTACTTTCAGTCTGTATGTGTCTCTAGGTCTGAAGTGGGTCTCTTGTAGACAGCATATATATGGGTCTTGTTTTTGTATCCATTCAGCCAATCTGTGTCTTTTGGTGGGAGCATTTAGTCCATTTACATTTAAGGTAATTATCGATATGTATGTTCCTATTCCCATTTTCTAAATTGTTTTGGGTTCGTTATTATAGGACTTTTCCTTCTCTTGTGTTTTTGTCTAGAGAAGTTCCTTTAGCATTTGTTGTAAAGCTGGTTTGGTGGTGCTGAACTCTCTCAGCTTTTGCTTGTCTGTAAAGGTTTTAATTTCTCCATCAAATCTGAATGAGATCCTTGCTGGGTAGAGTAATCTTGGTTGCAGGTTTTTCTCCTTCATCACTTTCAGTATGTCCTGCCACTCCCTTCTGGCTTGTAGAGTTTCTGCTGAGAGATCAGCTGTTAACCTTATGGGGATTCCCTTGTGTGTTATTTGTTGTTTTTCCCTTGCTGCTTTTAATATGCTTTCTTTGTATTTAGTTTTTGACAGTTTGATTAATATGTGTCTTGGCGTATTTCTCCTTGAATTTATCCTGTATGGGACTCTCTGTGCTTCCTGGACTTGATTAACGATTTCCTTTCCCATATTAGGGAAGTTTTCAACTATAATCTCTTCAAATATTTTCTCAGTCCCTTTCTTTTTCTCTTCTTCTTCTGGAACCCCTATAATTCGAATGTTGGTGCGTTTAATGTTGTCCCAGAGGTCTCTGAGACTGTCCTCAGTTCTTTTCATTCTTTTTTCTTTATTCTGCTCTGCAGTAGTTATTTCCACTATTTTATCTTCCAGGTCACTTATCCGTTCTTCTG